TATTAGAGCATGTGGGCTCTATGGTGGAGGATTTTTTTTTTCAGGACTTGGTGGGCTCTATGCCTCTATACAGATCTATGGGCCTTGGGGCCTCAAGTAAAGGCCCATGAGTGAAAAGCGGGAAGGGACGAAGGGTCATGCACGGGAAAGGCCCAAAATCGGAAAGAGAGTTCCAGAAAATCTCCATTTTTAAATAACTGAGACTGGACACTTCATTTTCAAAATTTGATCATTCTTTGTTTTTGCAAAAAAATACAAATACTAAAATATGAATTATTATTAAAGTGTATTAATAATAAATGTAAATTTACTATCCAAATTCTACGCACTGTAGTCTAATTATTTATTAGTTATTGATGGTCAAAGTTAAAATAGTTTTGATTTCCAAATATTGTTACTATTATTCATATTTAAAATTTAAAAACTTGTATTTTCTACAAAAAAAATATAAATATTCAAAAGATTTTGTATTATCAATGTATCATTCATCCTAAACATAAGCACTAAAACTACATTCATTGAAGTTTAGTGCTCCATTGGAACTTAGAATTCTTAAAACACGGTAACAGGAAAAATGCATGATTAAAGTGTTCTACCACCTTTCATAAGGATTGAAAAAAAAAGGGGGCAGAAATTCTGCAGGAACGACCGTTTGTATGAAGAGTGGAAAAAACAGTACAAGAATTAGAATAAACATGGTCAAAAGGGGTGCTCTTTTTTTTCCCCCAAGAGGTTGAACCTCACGTTGAAATTCCTATGTTATAAGTCAATATGAAGGAATATCATAAGATTTTTGGATAACTATTTCTTTGATCTAGAGAAAGAAGATTTTTCTATAGGATTAAATGCCTAAAAAAAGCCATTGTTCCAAAGTAACTCGTGAATATCTTTTTATGTAAATGGAATAAATATCCCTATATTTGCAACACCATTTGAATGTGAGGATAACTTCTTGTCCACACAGCTACTACTACCTCCGTCCCAAAATAAGTGCAGCCATGGGAATCCGTGTCCAACGTTTGACCATTCGTCTTATTTGAAAAATTTATAAAAAAATTAAAATATATTTAGTCACACATAAAATACTATTCATGTTTTATCATCTAATAACAATAAAAATATTAATCGTAAAAAAATTTCAAATAAAACAAACGGTCAAACGTGAGACATAAACAGTATAAAACTGCACTTATTTTAAGACGGAGGTAGTAATAGACAAAGTTGTTTAATTGCGGGCATCAGAATTTAAACCCTTATTCACATATCGATATTATTTTACACCGTACCCGCAGTTCCACCATCGTACTAATGGTGCCTGCCTTTTGTGACTAAAGCAAATGCAAAGGAGGTAGACAAGTAGTAGCTATAGCACTGCACTTCACTAGTTTGTTGGGAATTTTGCCGGATCAAGGAGGAAACGAAACGGGAGCATGGTAAAGATAAAAATCTCCCATACATTAATTTGCTGAAAGATATTATACATGTGTAGTACTCTCTCAAGAGTGATCAAGGTTACTTACGTTAGAGCATCTCCAACCACCTCTCCAAATCGAACTCTCCAAATACCCATATAACCAATTCTCCATCTGATTTGGTTAGTCAAACTAGTAGTTCACTCTAACAGTCTCTTCATCTACCATCTCTACTTTGACTCTATGACACAGGAACCCACATGTCAGCCTCTTCCTTATTCTTTCTCCCCTTCCTTCCCATTTTCCTATTTTCTAGCATATGCTTCCTTCCCCAATGGCAGGAAACAAGCGGCGGCGGCAAGCGGGGAGGGGACGGCGAGCGGAGGCGGCGGGCGTGGCGAGCGGCGGCCGGCGGGCGGGGGCCAGCGGCCGCTGCGAGCGGGGGGCGGCGGGCTGCACTGCGTGGGGGCCCGGCAACCGCGACGAGCGGAGGCGAAGGACGGCAACCGCACGGGGGCCGGCGGCCACGGCGAGCGGAGGCGGAGGACAGCAGCCGCACGGGGGCTGGCGGGGTGCGCCGCACAGAGGCCGGCGGCGAGCGGCGCTGCGCGGGGGCCGGCGGTGGCGGCGAGTGGAGGATGGCGGTCGCGGCGAGCGAAGGGCGGCGGCTGACGTGCTCGAGTTCCTCCCCATGTGTCGTCGTGCTCTTTCTGTGCTTGGTTGCCGTGTGGGGATGGAGGAGATGGGCTCCGTGGGGCCCACCATTGGCCAACCAAATAGAGTGGCCAAATTTGGCTAGTGGAGGGAGGGTTTTGGCCAGCCGGATGACTTAGCCATCCGGTTGGAGGGACTGTTGGAGCACGTTTTTTTTGCTAGAATGGCTAAAATTTGGCTTGGAAAGTGGGATGGAGAGGCTGTTGGAGATGCTCTTACTTCACATTACGAATGACACAACACACAAAGGTGATCGATCGAGGAGTACATGACGTCTACCACAATGACGCGAAGAATGTGGAGAGAGATGGTACATGACCTTTTTTTTAAAAAAAACATGGTACATGACCTCCATCTTGTTTATATATAACGCCATTAAATTTTTTTAGAAACGTTCAACTACTCGTTTTGTTCAATTTTTTTTAACAAATGTAAAAAAAATTTAAGTCAAACTTTAAAGAACATTTGATAATAAATCCAATCATAATAAAAAAAATTACAAACATTTGACTACTTATTTTATTCAAATTGTTTTTAACAAATGTAAAAAGAATTTAAGTCAAACTTTAAGGAATATTTGATAATAAATCCAATTATAATAAAATATTTTTATAATAAAATGAATAGTTATATATATATTTAAAAAATTAACAACGTCATATATTAGAAAATGAATGGAGTATATATATTTGTGAGGAAAAAGAAGAGGGTGTGACAGCCGTGTTAGGTAGATCGATGCCTACAATTCTTGTACGAAAGAGGGCAAATGGCTTGTGTTTTCTGCGTGCTATGACGAGGGGACGACACCTCGCAGGTGTACGTTCGATCGTGCAGCTACCTATCTCTTCCCAATACTCCGGCTGAGTTTAGTTCCAAATTTTTTGTTTAAACTTTTAACTTTTTTATCACATTAAAATTTTTCTACACATATAAACTTTTAATTTTTCTATCACATCGTTCTAATTTCAACTAAACTTTTAATTTTAGCGTGAACCGAACACACCCTCCGTCTCAGTCACAAAATATCTTGTCGTTGTATGATGCGTACGTGCAGTCGTCACTAGTTGAAGTGTCGTTTGCTTTGGTTTAATTTGTTTGTCATTTTACCAAATCTCATGTTAAACTAGAGAATGTATCGAACCATATTGCTACCCTTACCAATTACTCCCTCCGTTTCATAATGTAAGACTTTTTAGCATTATCCATATTCATATGGATGTTACATATATGTTTGTCTAGATTAATTAACATCCATATAAATGTAGATAATGCTAGAAAATCTTACATTGTGAAACGGAGAAAGTATATCCTAACCATCTTCTTTCTGAAAAAAAAAACAAAACAAATACTGAAATTCCTTGTCAGTACTAGTTTCTTTTTTAAGAAAATACTACCAGGCCTTACCTTGTAGTGTGTGATTTTATAACCAAAGAAAACATAATAGTTTTATACAAATATATACTTAAAAAAGGAAAAACAGAAGGAGTACTACAAGCGTTGTAACCAATCAGCACCTATCTTAAGGGATCATTCATCCTATACATATGCAAAAGAACCTCATTTTGAATAGCAGACCACCAACTATCAAAGAAAGGACCAATATTCTGAAATATCTTTCCATTTTGCTGTTTCCAAATGTGCTAGCAAGCTGTGAAGAAAACTTCTAAGAAACCTTTCTATCTGAACCAAAGTCTTGCTAAGATCACAATTTGAAAGAAATCAAGAAGAGAGGTATTCCAAAAGATACCAAGTTTCTACCAGCACTTTTCACTGAAACGACTGAGGGATAAGAGGTGTAAAATAGTTTCTCTGTGCTGAGAAGGGCAGAGAAAAAAACATGTTAGGTCAGCATCTGGTGGAGCACATTTCTTCCTATCAAGCATGTCTCTTGTGTTTAGCAGATCATCAAAGAGGAGCCAAATAAAAACTTTGATTTTCATCGTACACTTGGTCTTCCAACTTCCATAACCACTAAGGCCATGTTTGTTTCAGTTTAAGATTATTGTAATCTAGATTATTGAGCCAGATTGCTGTAAGCTTGATTATAATAAGCCGACATAGAATAAGTTGTAACATATTTAGAGTGGATTACCATATTATAGTAATTTGGCTTATAATTTGTAATAATCTACCATAATAAGTTATCTGTTTGTTTCAGTTTACTTTTAATAATCCATATTATAATAATTTTAAGCTGAAGCAAATAGGCCCTAAGTATGGCCGAGAAGCTTGTAAAACTGCAAAGTTCAGTTTATAAAAACACTTGGAGGTGTAATTACTTTGATTCTAAATGAAACTCGAAAAGTCCACCTTCTAATCTGACAAAGGTTAAATTAAGGAGCTTAGATCCTCATGAATTCAATGAAGGCCTCCTCAGGCCTCTCGTGAGTACTAGTATTCCTGGTGTTATCTCTATATTTACGTTAGTATTTCAATTAATTTTTCATTTATCCATCGAGTTGTTATTTGTAATTTGTAGTTATTGAATCTGCAAACTCTATAATAGTTGACTAAGACTTCTTGAAAGCAAATGCTGGAATGGAGTTTCATTGTTAAAAAAAAAATTACATTTGAAAATTGCTATAGAACCAACATTTCGGCGAAAGCTCTACTAAATCAATGAAATCATATTGATATAATAACTTATAAACACTAAATATCAGTCCACTAACAAGAATAGATATTTATCTTAAAAATCAAAACTATATGAGTCAGGTTCTATCTTCACTTTCTCTCTCCCAAACTTTTGGACACGTGGCTTCACCACAAGATGCCAAGTCTACGCATATATCACGCCTAATCCACAAGCTTGAGCAGCGTAAGTATATATAACTATTAAGAGGGATGCAACCTCGACGTTGCATGCACCATCCCATGGCGTTCACTCCAACCACGCTCGAGCTGCCATCCACCATGCCACCGGCCGCCGCCGCCGCCGCCGCCACCCGCCACCGCCACGCGAGGCCGGCCGGCCACTTGCGCTGCGCCGCCGACGCGGTGTCCACGGCGCCGGCGGAGCGGACGGCGGCGAGGGTGATCGCCACGAGCTCGCGCACGGCGTCGGCGTCGGCGGCGTCGGGCTCTGTCGCTCGCGTGTGGAGGAAGGTCCAGGGCTCCGGCGACTGGGACGGCATGCTCTCGCCGCTGCACCCGGTGCTCCGCGGCGAGGTGGCGCGGTACGGCGAGCTCGTCGGCGCGTGCTACGCGGCGTTGGAGGAGGACCCCTCGTCGCCGAGGTACATGAACTGCAAGTACGGCAAGCTCCGGATGCTGGAGGACGCCGGCGTCGCCGGGGCAGGGTACGAGGTGACGCAGTACATCTACTCGTCGCCGGACGCCGCCGTGCCGGGCATGGAGGCGTCGACCAGCGGCCGCGCCAGCTGGGTCGGGTACGTCGCGGTGTCCACCGACGAGACGACGCGGCGGCTCGGGCGGCGCGACGTGCTCGTCTCGTTCCGCGGCACGGTCACCCCCGCCGAGTGGATGGCCAACCTCAGGAGCTCCCTCGTGCCGGCGAGCCTCGCCGCGCGCGGCGGCGGCGGCGGCGACGTGAAGGTCGAGTCGGGGTTCCTCAACGTCTACACCTCCGCCGACGAGACGCGGCGCTTCGGCTGCGCCGACAGCTGCCGCGACCAGCTCCTCCGCGAGGTGTCCCGCCTGTTCGCCGCCTCCCGCTCCGGCGGCGAGGACGTGAGCGTGACGCTCGCCGGGCACAGCATGGGCGGCGCGCTCGCGCTGCTCCTGGCGTACGACCTCGCGGAGCTCGGCGTCGCCGGCGGCGCCCCGGTCACCGTCTTCTCCTACGGCGGGCCGAGGGTGGGGAACGCGGCGTTCAAGGCGCGCTGCGACGAGCTCGGCGTGAAGGTCCTCCGCGTGGCGAACGCGCGCGACCCGGTGACGAAGCTCCCGGGCGTCTTCCTCAACGAGGCGACGACGAGGTCGGGGCCGCTCGCCGCCATGCGCGGCGCGTGCTACGTGCACGTCGGCGAGGAGCTCGCCCTCGACTTCGTCAACCTCGGCGACCTCGCCAGCGTCCACGACCTCGGATCCTACGTCGCGTCGCTCAGGGAAGGGGTGGTCACCGACGCCGAGGCGGCCACCGGCGGCGTTCTCGCCATGGCGATGGAGCTCGTCGGGAGGCAATGGCAGTCGAAGGACGCAGCCAGGGGGATGATGCAGTCAACTGGCTTGATATGAGAGAACTCTCCCTGTTGCAAAAACTCTTTTCCTCAATCCTTTTGGGCGTTCAAAAAAAAAGATATCTATGTTGCAGGGAAATTGTTTTAACAGCTCGAGTGGATGTCGACCCGTTGATTGTATGTCATCTAAATTATTATGAAAAAAATTAAAAAAATATAAACAAGATGGATCAATATATAATACATCAATTCACAAACATGCATGTTAAAATTCAACTCCTACAAATTGTAACAAAAATAACAAACAAAACTCAAATTACTATATGTACATTTACAATTAAATTTGTTATTTTTGTTATAACTTGTAGAAGTTGAATTTGAACTTGCATGTTTGTGGAGTGATATATTAAATATTGATCTATCTTCTTAATTTTTTTGAAAATTTTTCATAATCATCTAGTTAACATGTAATAAACGGATGGACGTCCACTCTAGCTATTAGAATCCATCTCCCTCTGTTGCATCCATTTTTTGCAGAGATTTTTCCCATTGGCCACTGAGTGTTAATTAATTCTTAGAATATGTGTCCAACATAATAGTTTTATTGACTATTTTAGTCTGTAAATTAACAAGCAGAGGTTTTTTGGTTTTTTTTTTGTTTTGGGAGAAAAGAGGGATCAATCCCTTCTCTTCCATTGTACTCTCATTCTTTTGCTGTTAAGAAAACAGTCTCTCTCATTTGCCTCAAATTAATTTGTATTGTGCTCTCTCTGCCTCTCTGGTCTATAGATAAGTTGCAACTCCCTCCAGTCAAATATTTGAAGTTTATGACAAAATCCACTTATACTTTTAAAATTCATATCACCAATATTTTTTTTATAAATGCTTAGTTTATAAACAAAATGAATGACATCAGTAGGTTTGCCTTAAAAAAGTACTACTCCCTCTGTCCAGAAATATAAGGTATTATGTCTAAAATAATATAAATTAAGGAAGAGAAGTAGTACATATGTGTAGTTTGAAAAAGCATCTTTGGCATAATAAACAAAGTAGTAGTACTGGTAAGTAGTACATTAAGTACATTCTTTGTATTTTTTTTAGTTTTTGACATGGATAGTGTGGAGTAGTAGTAGTAATATTAGAAGCTCTGCTCGCCCAAGGAGGTAGTTTGCTTTACTCAACTCCCCTTTTTGATAACAAGGCAAAAACCTCCGACCCGACATTCATGAGTTTTGAATGAAGAATGAAGAGTGCCCTGCCTCTCTTTTTTTTTCCCTAAATCTTAGAATTGGAAGTTGGTAAAGACCCACCCCTTGTTTAAGTTAGAATGAGTCCCCGAGACATTGGCTTCCGCCAACAGTGAACTATTAAGGATCGCATCCCATGCATATTCCACATTATAGCCAGCAACTGATTCAGCTTCCGCTTCTGGGAGATCAGACGGAGCTCGATTAGTTTCTACTAGACAAGGAATAAAGAACATAACCAATACGGGGAGCGAGGGAATACCGGACCATATCTGCTTTTGTGCCTGACAATCTCACGGAGGGAGTACTTCTCACAGAAATCAATTGATGGGTGGCTGACAATCCTGCTTGCTTTGGGAGGAGATAAATCCACTATATTTATGGATATTTCTAGGGACAAAATCTCCTATACTTCTGGATAGAGGGAGTATCATAATATTGTAAACCTGTTAGATACTAAAAACTTATTCTAACGTAAAATTGATTACCATAATTTTAAAGGTTTGATTGAATCTTGTTTTAAACAAAAAATATTTTTTGACTGGAGGGAGTACCAACATTATTTTGAGGAGTAGATTTTTCTATCATAAATTTTGTGTACATTCTCTTATTCATCAGTTGCAAGTGTGAACACACAACTCACATATTAAAATAAGGTAAAACCCTCCATCTCTATCCAATGATCGGAGAGACGGAGAGAGAGAGAGAGAGAGGGGGGGAACCCAGCCAAACAAAGTCAATATCCAAAAATATGGAATTATTCGGACCACATCAAACTGAGGTAAAATCCAGTCAAACAAACTCAACATAAAAAACATGAAATTATCAGGAACTCATGGATGAAGGTTGAAGAGTGAAGACAACAATTGGCCCGAAAATTTTGGGCTTTGATAGTTGCCATCTCTTCCGCGATCACTACAATCTTCCTATACTCTCAAATTATAACATTCTAACAGCCCCATCTTTTAGTTTATGCTTATACTTATTAGCCAAAATTTAAATTTTTAACTTTAAATTTGGAGTTGATTTTGGGGTTTTCTCATCGAAGTTTATTTTCCAGCCTTTGCTTTTAGATCGTTAAGAACGCGTATATAAAAGTTTTATTCGTAAATTATTTTTCATTTGCAAATATGCCGTTTGGCTTAGGGAGCCTAAACTTTCACAAAAAAATTACCACGGTACATCTTCAAGAAAACATCATCCGTTTGACTTTTGTTAGAGTGCTACAATCCATCAAATCCAATAAATGACAAAATATCTTCTAAAATCTTTCATAAAACTTCTTTTCACATCCTTCATCAGTAAAAAAAAAAGAAAAGAAAGGAAAGAACGAAAAAAAAATCCGGTCCATTCATCTCGTCTTCTCCGCGAGCCTCTTCAGTCTTCCCTTCCTCCGCCGTGGGCGCCTCCCTGTCGCCGCCACCTCTTGGTCCCCTTCTGATCGACGGCGCCGGTGCCACAGATTTCTCCAATTAATCCACACGATCTTGGGAGGCATCGGATCAAGTGCACAAAATCTCAGTGCAAGTTTCTGAACATCTGGAAATTTGATTTAGAGAACACCATGCAAATGTGGGAAAGGGTACAAGCCAACATGTGCAAAAAATGATTTAGCTAATGTAAATTATGTCATGCGGTGAATGATTATCTCCCATTTGCTACACCGATCTGATGATTACAAGGCTGAATGTTTTTCCTAGGTACCATTTCTTCATATCACGATGCAAATGGTAGAGTTAATTAAGCGAGGGGTTTTTAAGAATAAAACACAACAAGGTGTCAATTGGTTCGAGGACATATGCGCTATTCAGTGCAAATGTGAGGATTGGTTTTCTTCTTTTCTTGCAAAATAGCCACCACGCGCCATTTTCTCCAAAGAGCAAAAGGAATTCCATATATAAAAGGAGAAAATTGCAACCTAGAAGGTATTAGTGACTGGGATCCCTTGCTGTCATACGCTTCATAAGCTATTAATTATATACTTTCGTTGTGATTAAATGATTAAAATCCCAACCTAAACACCTGGAAGTGCTAAAGGCAAACTATGAATTTATCTTGATAAAAGAGCTCATATCTGTATTTCTCTTTGTTCTTTCATATAAAATGTCCATTGTTCTTTTTTTTCAATTAGTAAATCATTTCGTGAAAATGTCGATGTATATTTGATCGTTGAATATTATTTGCCTTCTTTCAACTGAGATGGAGTTTGCCTTGCCTTGCCTGCAGCCAAAAGAGCAATGAGAACAAGGCTAATCAACTGTCCATGTACTTAAATATTAAAAGCTATTTCTTTACTACCTTATTGAGAATTGGTTTGAATTTAATAAATTTTCAGGCCAAAGTGTCTGAAAGTTCAGTTTGCACACCGTATCAGAGGACTTATTTGTTGTTTGATGGGTTATTAGATTAGGCACCGTATGGTGTATACTCCTACTTAATTTGGTTTTTGTTTGGTATTGAATTATGGATGCTGTCATCCTCATCCATGGTTAACACAAGATGAGTTGGCAATCTGATGGGAAAAGTAGAAAGAATTCCTAAATGATTGCATGATGGTGACTGGTAAGTGCATCCCAAGAGAAACAGGTCATGTTAAAAAGAAATAGTGTTTTGCATGTTAACTTGCTGCACACTTATGTAAAAGAGACCACCTAAGTTTGCCTGTCCAATTTCAAAGTAGGTAGACTCTTGGAGTTGACAGCGAATGGATCTTTTTTAAACTGTATAATTTCTTCTACTGCAATTCTGGATAGTAGTCACTCCATTTTAAAATGTAGTTATTTCTACTAGTTCTTTTGGAGGGGAACCCCTCCCCTCCGCACGTAAAACGGAGCGATATATTAATATATAATTAATTACGTATTAACTAAAAAAACTTGAAAAATTGATTAATATAATTTTTTAAAGCAACTTTCCTATAGAACTTTTGCAAAACACGCACCGTTTAATAGTTTGAAAAGCGTACACGCCGAAAACACGAAAAACGAGGGAGATGAGTTGGTAACTCTGGGAAAGAACTCAGCCAGGAACGAGGGTGAAAGGATCATAATGTCCTTCATTAATGCATGGAGGACTTGTGGAGAGTAGGGTGGCTGGTTGGGGTAAAAAAAACAACTAGAAATAGCTACATTTGGGATATATTTGAATCCTGAAAATAACTATATTTTGGAACGGAGGAAGCAGTTGATGTACATTAGCATTTAAAATCTGCTCTTAGAATATCTCTAATGCTGAGATATACTTGCAGGTTCACTGTTCTTATGCTTATTTGGTTATATAATCCTTGTTATTTGATTATTGGTTATATGATAAGCTTCTCTATACAAGAATACTTGCAACTGTGGGACTTAGTTGATGGACTGATCTTACAACAGGATATCCCTGACCAACACACTTTAAAGTTTTCGAAGTCAGGAACTTACACAAGCAAGTCCGCTTACCACACCTATTTCATTGGGTCGATAAAATTTACCACATGGAAGAGAATATGGAGGACTTGGACGCCCAAGTGTAAGTTCTTTTTGTGGTTAACGGTGAATAACCAATATTGGACATCGGATTGCCTTGAGAAGTTTGGAATATCACACTCAAAAGTTTGCCCTCTCTATGAACAACAGTAGGAGATAATACAACACATCCTTGTGTTTTGTGTCTTTCCCCGTCAAGTATGGTACCTAATTATAGAAAAGATAGGCATGGAGACCTCAGGGCCTCAACCTTCCTCAAGGCAATTCTCTAGCTGGTGGTCTCAAATGGTCAGAGGTGTATCTAAGGAAGATAAAAAAGACTGAACTGTTATCTTAGTGGTCTGGCAAATTTAGAAATACAAGAATGACAGTGTATTCAACAATGCCACACCAAGTACTGTTGTCGTATTGGTTGTTGTGGCAAGGGAGAGTTTATTAGGGCAGTCCCAACTCTCTATCTAGGATGGTGTCTATGGTATTAAC